CATCATATGACCCCTTTAAAAATAACTCTCTCTCTCTCTCTCTCTCTTTTCAATTTGCGAGGCACTTTGTGTTGCTTTTTTTAGTTTAGTTTTTTTTTCAAATAAATACTTTACATGTTGCAAACAGAATGCCTTAAGGAAATAATTTTTTTAATATAGCAAATAGATTCAATTTAAACCTTTAAATCTAATTTCAAAATATATTTTGGACAATATACACCTCAAAATTTTGGAGACATTAAGATGTTTTTTTTTTAAAGTGTTGTATTCTCAGTAAGGCTGCAATTGTTTCATTAAAATATAGTAAAAACAATAATTGTCAGGATCATGGACCTGTTTTGTTGTGTTTGCCCCTGTCTTTGTTCCTGGTTTTCCTTATATGGTCTTTCCTGTCCTCGTTTAGTTTAATTATGATTCCTGGCACCTGTGTTTGTTAATTTCCCCCAGTATTTAAGTCCTTGCCTTTGCGTTCTGTGTTTGTCTGTTGTACTCGTTATGTGTGTGTTTCCTGCCATTTCCAGTGTGGATGAACCCTGTGTTCCATGGATTAAAGACTGTTTTCGTTTATTCGTGGCTCTTGCATGCTTCCTGAACAGCGAACTGTGACAATAATATTGTAATTAAAAAAATACTATATGAATTTATTCCTGTAATTGTAAAGCTCAATTTTCAGCAGCTGTTACTTTACATGATCCTTCAAAAATCATTCTAATATGCTTTTTAATATGCTAATATTCTAATTTGGTGCTCAAGATGCATTGCAAACAGTTGTACTGCTTAATATTTTTGTGGAAACTGTGACAAGTTTTTTTTCAGGATACTTTTAATGACCTCAAAGTGACGGACCCCAAACTTTTGAATGGTAGTGTAAATATATTTATTGTAGGTCTAAAATATATATAAAAATGTCAAAAATACTTGATGAAATATAAGTAAATAAACTTATACTTATGATACATGTAAATATATATTTTAAATATTTATTAGCAATACATTTTTTGGCCATTTGTACATTGGTGTTGCCAGCGCTCTCCCATTTGAGCCATTTGAGTTTTTTATTTCCTTGTCTAATGCTTTATTTTAATATTAACTGCATCAAAACCTTGCAAATTGTTATTTTCTTTCACTTGTGAAATAATGTGCCAGGACTTTGGAAAAAGATTACAGACACTTCCCGAACTGGAGGCTGGTTCACCAGCTTTCCTTGAAGAAGCAAGAGCGCTAATTGCTACATTTAGCACACACTGCGGTGGTCTCTGAGTGGGATGGTACTGTGATAAACTAATAAGAACTCGGCACAGTGTTTTGACAGAATATGACATATGTAAGTGCTCTTTGGGTTGGTGCCAACACAAGGGCCCATCTTAAAAAGAGCTCTCTAGTGAGTGCTGCTGATTGTACTGAAATAGAGTGACAACCTAGCATGAAGTCGGGTGAAGAGCGTCTCAGAAAGATAAGGCATGACATCCGTTAACTTCATTTAATGGCATTCACTCTCATTAAGGATAGATACATGGCTTCATTGTGATGACGAGTGCAAATTTGCTCAAAATTAAGCCCTTTTCCTCTGGGATGGTCCTGCTGACCTTTGTAACAGACCGTTTATCCTACTTTAAGCGACAAGGATGATTTGACAAAATTAGAAAATGCAGGATTTGTTAGGTTAAATATTAGAGTATTAGATATCAGATATTAGATTAGACTAAAGAATGTGTATTTGTGTCTGAGTGTTGCACTTGTATTCAAAGCTGAATTTTCAGCAGCATTACTCCAGTTTTAGTGTCACATGATCAAAGTGTCACATGATCAAAGTTCTAACTTATCAAAGTTAGAAACTGTTGTGCTGCTTAATTAATTTTTATTTTTTGTGTTTTAAATGCAAAAATGCATTCAGCGTGAATAGCCCCTAAACGTAGTCGCTGGGGCCTGGGGCCCTAGTGGTCAAGTCGCACTGTATATGGGGCCATGGGACCCCAAACACTATGTAGCATTTTATCTGTATTGATTTGAGTATATTAAGCAGACGCTCTGTTTTGGCTTCCCCTGTCGCCGCTGGCTTTAGAGGTGGACTGTCTGGCAGTGTTGTCTGTCCACAGCCAGGATCTCTCTTGGGACTCAGGCCAACACTCATCGACCCATTTAGAATAGTTTGCGCCATAGACTCGCGTTTTCGCCACTAGAAAGGCATTGCTTGCTTGCTTATATGTATTTGTTTATGAAATTCAAGTTATTTATTCTATTGGCTAGTAATAATTGGCTTTCACATCTAGCTCTTTGTGTCTCTTTTCAGCCTTTTTTTTTTTTTTTTTTACATTTTTAGATTAATGTTTTTCTCTTATCAGAATTATTATTAGCAGTCAGACATGATTAATTTATTCTGTAAGCAAAAGTGTTTCATAATAGGTTCACAATAGTCTTCATCTGATTTTAATAAATATATATTTCAAAAGTATTATTCATTACAGTTGTTGTAAAACTTTTTTAATGAGGAAAAAGTTACCGAGGGTACCTTTCAAATAGCAGTTTTCTTATTTAAGTTAATGATGCTTTCAAAAATATGTTCTTAAAAATTTATATCAGTGTCAGTGCTGATAAAATATGGACAGGGGGTTGTGCTTTATAGTTGCCAGGGCATTTCATAGATCAGAGGGAGGATTTAAAAAAAAAAATCGGTGACAGATCAGTAGCCATACGCCCCTGTGGTCTCCACCGATCCTACTAACCACTTTAACTTTCACAAATTCCTTTAGTGTGTGTGTGAGATAATGAATGCTGGAAGAACAGTTATTTGTCCTTATAAACCCTCAAAGAGAATAAACTTGAAGATATGGCTTGATTTGCACACATTGCTAAACACAATTACTACAGTGAGCAGCTCTAAATGGATGCCCGCAGGCCCACATCCGGATAACTAATAGCTGAATTGGAACTAAAGCGTTGATGATGTACATGATTGAGGTGGTGCTAATATAGATTTAGCTTGAATGTTCTGACACGCATTGAATTTTAAACCATAACGTGTCTTGACACACTGGTGATTTTGATCTTTATCAAGGCTTTGAGAATTTATGCATAAATTTGCATGTGAAAATAAGGTGATATGTTTCCCCGTTTTAAACGTCAGGTTCTGACATTGTTCAGTGGATGATGAAGAACCTCAACATAGATGATCCTGGTAGGTGCTGATATGAAGAAAGTTACACATCTTATTGTTGACTGCAAATCGTTTGTGAAAGCGAATGCATTATTTTCTGTATTTACAGCGGAGGCCATACACATCGGCAGCCTGATCGCCGCCCAAGGCTACATATTCCCTATCTCTGATCATGTTCTCATCCTCAAGGATGATGGGACGTTATACCGCTTTCAGGTGAGCTTATCCATCTACCATCACGTGGATTGTATCCTGGCAGCTGTGGTTTCCAGGATGTGATCCTGTTTCACTTCAGCACTGCCGAGATTCTGAATCTACTGTGCAGATCACACCTAAGACACACTATGAAGAAGCTCCACTGACCTTTACACCTACTGAACAAATAGGACTGTGTTTGATCAGTGCAGCTGCCTTTATTAAGCCCTTCTCTATACAGGTGGTATATTACTAAGATTTATTTAACTTACTATATATACACAACCTGAAAAAAATTTGTACTTTTATTCAGCAAGGATGCATTGTGCATTAAATGGATCAAAAGTGACAGTATAGTGTCCATTTTTTAAATGAATGAATCTGAGTTTCTTTTGTACGTTCATTAATTACTCAGAAGGGAATTAGTGTTTCTGTTTCTCTGGAGTATGGCTCATCAGCTCATTGCCTGACGATAATGATCTCAATGCACCATCATTTGCTTTGTGCCGCCTGTAGTCTTTTAGACTGGCTCCACAAAGGCGAGGGAGTTAGGTCAGTTGTTACAAATGTTGTTAATAGCTTTCATAACATGAATATCTTCATATAATAACTGCACGGCAAAATAATCACAATTCCAGCTTCAGCTTTGGCTAGTAAACAGATGGCAGACATTCTTAGTTCTTTCAGACTCACACTTGATTTTAAAAAGAATTAATGTAAATCAGTGAAGTAGTTACTGACAATCCAGAAGCTATTACTGTATCTAAATATCCAGATATTGTCTAGATTAGCATTTCTCAACCATTTTGACTCAAAGGCCCCCCGGTGTTCAACACAGTATTCAAAGGACCCCCATATTGGCCTCTGGTATTTCAGCTTTGGTCCCACTTTATATTAGGTGGCATTAACTACTATGACTTAAATTAATCATTTGATACAATACACTTACTGTGTACATACATGTTTTTACATTGTTCTTATATTTAAAAAAATAACTGCTTGTAATTACATCTGTAATTAATTTCAGTAATTACATTTATAGTTACACTGTTGACCCATCCCTTACACCTTAACCTACCCTTAAAACTACACATACTACAAAACCTGTCCCTAACCTTACCCATATCCCACCTCAATAGAAGCAAACGTGTTTTTCAATAAATAGCACAATAAGTACATCATACTTATTTTTTGATCTAAGTACACCTAATATTATGTGTGACCTCTGCTTTTAGTCACAATGTTGCTTGCTTTCAAATATTTGGTTACACTTTATTTTAATTTGTCCTTGTTACAGTGTAAATATACATTTAAGTACTGAGTAATATTAATTAACAACATGTTCTTACTATATGGTTAGGGTTAGGATTAGGGTTTGGCTTAGGTTTACTTGCATGTAATTATGCATAATTTATTGTTATTATAATAGTAAGTACATGTAACGTGTAACAAGGACACCTTAAAATAAAGTGTTACCAAATATTTTTATTAACACAAACTGGGAATGTTGAAATTGTATGTACTTATATATAGGTGTATCATATATATATATATAAATTCTAGCCAAAGCAATGAGCCAATAAGTATTTTAAGTATTTTCGTGTTAATTTAATATAGACTTTGTCTAAATAAGAGGGGGGGGGACACAAAAAACTAACAAGTAAATTCAGGCATAATTTTTATAGTATAAAAAAGGAATTTCATTGTGAGATTACAAATTAGATTTAACAGTGTTATTACATTATTTGTGTTTTTACAGATTAATTTAGTCAGTGTTAGATGACAGCAAAGGAAATCTAAATGTACAAATATGAGAAATGAGCAGCACAATTGAAAGTATTTTGGCTAGAATAAGTTTGTTCATGCTCTAAAATCTGCCTACTCAATTTTACAATTTTGCTAATCTACAAAAGAGTAATAATTTCTATCTTTCCCACCAGGCTCCATACTTTTGGCCCTCTAATTGCTGGGAGCCAGAGAACACGGACTATGGTAAGAGAAGGACCCTCCTGGGCATGGTCACAGTGACGTAAGAGCGCACCGAGCTTTACCGTAGATGTTTTCAGAGGGCTAATATAACTCATATGGTCCCAGAGATGCTGGAAACCCCATGTTCAGCCCACAGTCTGCTTTCCCAGGATTATTATTACAGCTCTGTTGGGCAGGACGGACAGTCAGGGAGAACTGCCGAGCATTAGTAGGTGTATGAGAATGTGTTGACTGTGGGCAGATGTTCACCGATGGTCAATGGTGACTCATTCTCAGTTCCTACTGTCTGTAAACTGGCCAAGCAGAGATGATAGATGCAGAGGAAAATACTAAATCCAATCAAGGGTTTATACTGGATGTGTGTGCGTTTGTATGGGGTGGGATTATACATGACGGTTGATAAGGCCAAGTCTCTTATGGCCTCTTGTCTGTTTCTCTCTTCTCTGTCTGTCTCTTTCTCTCTCTGATGCCTGTCACAGCCATCTATCTGTGCAAACGGACCATGCAGAACAAGACCCGGCTGGAGCTGGCGGACTATGAGGCAGTAAGTGACCCACTGCGATGACAGCCGACAGAAAATTGAAGCATTTTGCTGGCAAAAGCATATCAGTTTGTATTTTCACAACTATTGACAGATATGTCAAGTTATTTTATACCCTAAAATACCAACTTGTCATTGAGAATTAAAGGTGAAGTGTGTAATTTTTTTCCAGTGATACTTTCTCCTGTCCTTGCTTAATGTGCAGAGGCAACGATAAGTGAATCATTTGTAGATTGATTCCCTCAAAGAGTGTAAACTCTGTGCCTCTTTGGAGCTTTTAACATCTTTTTTTTTTTAAGTGACCTGAACAAGGGCCTCTGTAATACCGGCTTCTATCTTTGTTCATGGATGCTCATTTCTGAACTTTTTGTTGTTGTTGTTGTTGTTGTTGTTGAAAATGGCATTATGACATGCAGACTGACTGAAGTGACACACACTGAAGTGATCCTGAGCTGTGATGTTAAAGTCAGCATGCGCTATGCTTTTCAGAAATATTGGTCACAGTTATATTATGAAGAAAAAAAAGTTGATATACTATTTATAATGTATATTTATATAAAAGAAAGAAAACAAATAAGAAATATAAAAATATATATACATTTTATATGCATTTTTATGCATAATTCTATATAAAATGTTGAGTTGGTTAGATTTTTAAATGTTTTGAGGTCTCTTTTGCTCATCAAGGCTGCAATTATTTGATTAAAATTACAGGTAAAAGCTATAATATTATGAAATATCATTACAATGTAAAATAACTGTTTTCTATTTTAATATATTTTAAAATGTAATTTATTCCTGTGATGGCAAAGCTAAATTGTCAGCAGCCATTTCTCCAGACTTCAGTGTCACATGATTCTTCAGAAATCATTCTGATATTTGATTGACTGATTTAGTTGGTTATTATCAATGTTGAAAACAGTTGTGCTGCTTAATATTTTTGTGGAAACTGTGACAGCATTTATTATAAATTAACAGATTTGTAACATTATGATAAACAATTATAATTCTTTGCTGTCACTTTTTATCAGCTTAATGCATCCTTGCTTAAAATATATTAAAAATAAAATTTCTTATTAATTATTTGTAGTAGCTTCTTAAAAAAAAGCTAAAAATACTGTTTTTACCATTTCTTCTCATATATGGCAGAAATACTAATAGTAATAGAGTTTTAGTATGCTAGTATGCTTTTCCAAATTCAGCCCTGAATATTTAGATGGCTTACTACATTTGTCAAAATAGCTGGATATAACATAGCTTACTGCTTTCCCATTAGGCAAGACCTGACCTTACAGTTTAGATGGATGAAACCTTCTATTTTAAGATGTCTTTCTTTCTTTCTTTCTTTCTTTCTTTCTTTCACTTACTCATTTATCTCATTCAGGAGAATCTAGCGAGACTACAGAGGGCTTTTGCAAGGAAGTGGGAGTTCATCTTCATGCAGGCTGAGGCACAGGTCAAGTAAGTGCTGTTGTCAGGACAACTACGCAAACACTTGCTGTCACTCATACCTGCTCTCTTCTGTGTTGAAGACACATCTACCCTTTGTTTTCAGCCCACACACATTCACACAAAGACATACTGTATATACACAAGCCCTCATTATGATGTAACATCATAATATTGCTGAAGTGCAGTTGTTAGGGGCGAGACGTATTAGCATGCATGTTTGATTTGGAGTGGTCCTCATTGATTGAAGCAGTCTCTCGCTCTTCAAACACCGACTGAAGAGCCTCATCTGATGGCTGAGGGCTGCAAACACAAGTCAACCCTGCTCTGATTTTTGATCATCAGTCTGTCTCTATCATCACACTGTCCGCAGTACTCTTTTCATGAGGAAAACCCTAATTTTGAGGAGAGCAAGAACAGAAGAGAAAGAGAGATGAATGAAAGCGTCTCAGGGCTCAAAACCAGGATCAGTGAGAGATAGAGAGAGTGATGCAGCAAATGTCAGTTACGTAAGAGTGAAGTGGCAGGAATGGAAATGAATTAGCTCTGCTCGCAGGCAGGTTGCAACTTTGACGAGCACAAGGGTTTCGCTCATTGTCTGTTTTAACGTGTGAGGCGGAACGTGAGAGTGTGTGGATTGGGAAGGTTTCCTGCTATCTGTTTAATATTAATGTCTTGCAGCTTTGTGTTTTCTTTGATTTTGTAGGATCGACAGGAAAAAAGACAAAACGGAGAGAAAGATTCTGGATAGTCAAGAGAGAGCCTTCTGGGATGTTCACCGTCCTGTGGTGTGTGAGGGGTGGCTCCAGTGTGGGACGGGTTTCTGTGTTTGCATCTTGTTTGAATTTAATAGATCAAATATTAGGCACACTGTAATAATGAAATACTTAAAACACCATTGGGGTTCCTCAGATTACCACTTTGGAAAACCTTGAGGCTCTTGAGAACTGGCCTCTTAAAAAGGCCAGCTTTTGCTAATTGGAACCCAGAAGTTCCTTCAGACTCTAAAGACTTGTGTAAAATGCATACCAGAGTACTTGAGTACATAACAGGATACTTAAAGGGATAGTTCACCCAAAAAATTCTGTCATTAATTACTCACCCTCATGTCGTTCCAAACCCGTAAGACCGTCGGAACACAAATTAAGATAAGAAAGCTAAGAGCTTTCTGACCCTGCATAGAAAGCTATGGAACTGACACGTTCAAGACCCAGAAAGGTAGTAAGGACATTGTTAAAATAGTCCATGTGACATCAGTGGTTCAATAGTAATTTTATGAAGCTATGAGAATACTTTGTGTGCACAAAGAAAACAAAAATAATTTTATTTTAATAACGCAGTGCATTCACGAGTGTCCCACAAGAAATGTTTTGAGAAATGTCTCAGTGTGTTTTGTCCAGACAATTGAAGTCAATGGTAACAAAAACAGTTTGGTAACTAACATTATTCAAAATATCTTCTTTCATGTTTCACAGAAGAAAGAAAGTCATACAAGTGTGGAATGACATGAGGGTGAGAAAATGACAATTTAAATTACTGGGTGAACTATCCCTTCATCCCTTTTTTTAGCTGTTCTGATAGCTTATAATAATGAATAAAACCCCATTTTAAAGTGTTAACAGATATTTAAGTGTGATTTAATCTCAGTTTTTCATAGTTAGCACAGCTGTTAACACATTCAGTTTCTTTTTAAGGAAAGAAAATGAAACAACATGTGTAATTATTGGATTCTGCAATTTCTGTGAATCAAGATTGTAGTGGAAAATGTGCGTATCTTCAATTTTTATATGGCTGATTTACATGTGATTGTGATTGAAAGCCTGGGTGTGTGAACACCACAGAGATGGACATCAGGAAGTGCCGCCGCCTGAAGAATCCTCAAAGGGTGAAAAAGGTGCTTATGCTCGTATTATTAGTGTGTGCTGTATGAGACAGAGGGTATTGTGACCCGTCTCCATCTCTGTCTCTTGTCTTGCAGTCAGTGTATGGGGTAGTGGATGACACACAGTCTCAGAGTCCTGTACACACACCCTCCCAGCAGAGCAGCAAGGACACCAGAGAGGACATCGAGAGAGAGGTGTGTACGAGCAACGGTGTGAATTTGATTCTTGACAGCCTCACAGCGGCTATTAATATTTAGCACGATCACTCACTTGCTCAAGTGGAGATGCAGTGAGCAACGGTATTCTGTCTCTTTCAGATTCTGTTCTTGAACACTCAGTTGGATCGCCACTGTATGAAAATGTCCAAAGTTGCTGAGACGTAAGTCCTCTTTCTTGATCTGTCCATGAAACTCAAACTTTTCTCAGTAAATATTAATACTTGCCATTAATAATGTGTTAATTAAAAAAACATTATGCTTATTAAAGATGGGTATCATAAAGAATTTATTGGTTCCAGTTCTGATTTATCTTTTGGTTCTGTTAATGATTCTTTTAGTAGTTCAATTCCATTGCCAAATGATGAGACCTTTAAAAAGACTGAAACGTCTGTTGTAAACATTTTCATAAGAATTGTTTTAGAGACAACATTTATTGCATTCGACTAATTGGCAGCGACTATACAGATTAACAACAATACGAAAACTAAAATTGTGTCAATATATTTTTATTAATTCTTATAAAATACTTCAGACAAAACTCATGTGTGTCTTTAATTACAAGCTGCCAAACAGTACACATTTCACTTTATAACAAACAGTTAAATTATAAGCTGTATGTGTTTGATTCGTTTAAAAGAACGGACTTATTCAAGCTATTTATTTGGGAATCTACACTGGTTGCGCTGTATGTTTTTGATCAACTAAACAAAATCAGGCTCATATGAGCTGTTAATTCAGGAATCAAACCACATTAAGTTTAATGCTATAAATTCAGTGGCGGGGTTGCGGTTGTGTGGGAAACTCTGTCAGAGTATTTTAGTACAGTGTACTGTCCACGTTTGCGCAGGAATGCATGCGTGAAAACAATTCATGTGGTTCCAATAATAAAAAACAGACAGTAATATGAAATAATAACATGATTTCAACCCATTTTTGCAGATTGATGAGCTCCACAGAGCAGTATCTTGACTATGACCCCTTTGTGACAGTACCAGAGCCCGCTAACCCCTGGATCAGTGATGATGTCACTTTCTGGGAGCTAGAGGCCAGGTATGAAAACCTAAATACTACATCTCTCTTTATAGATTCCTCTCTTCTCTAGTCTAGTTTTCATTAGATGAAAGGGAGAGGAATCAGGATGTGTGAATTTCTTAATTTCACTTATCTTAACTGAGAGTCTTTTGTCTTGATTACGTTGATCATTTTTAGGGTCACATTTGTCAAAACGGTATTATCTGTTTTGTTGTTATGCTTCTTTTTGGTTTTATTTTGAAAGTCTTGTGTTACTTGATTATTCTCAAATTGGAGTCAATTTTAAAATAACATGGAGCTCTGCAGACAATTATTTATTCATTTATAAAATACATGCCTTGTAATGTTCATTGTGATTCCCAATGCATAGCCTTATTGTAAAGTGTTTCATTTAGTTAGTTTAGCTTACAAATCTTTTCTTTGGCTAATGTGATCCCGAATTTTTATGCATGCATGAGCGAGGTGTTTTCATTTCGATGAATGGGACGAATTCTGGGATCAACACCACATAGCCCATGCTCCCATTGTGAAAGCTGTAATCTGTTAATATGAACGTATTTGATTTGTGAATCTGGCATTTTGCTTGCTGAAAGCAATAACTGAAAGTAGTAATATACCGTAATAGCATGCAGGCATTGTACATAATTGACCAATTGTGGCATGCGAGAATGAGGAATCTACAGGGAACGGACAAAGCAATGCCAATATAATGTAAGGACTGTAGAGCATGTCAATAGGAAGAAAAGGCCAAAACGTGGACGTTTTAGACAATTTAGCAGTCCAGACCTGGACATGTCCTGAAAAAAAAGGACGTATGGCCACCCAAGAGAAACTCTAGGATGGCGAATTTGAGAGTGTGAGGGGAATGATTTAATGAAATTAATCACAGAGCGAGTGCCATGTCTTCATAGTAACAGTGACTACTCTGAATGGTGGAGCTCTCTTTAGAATTTCGACTAATGTAGTATCTCATTCAGAATATCACAAGTAGTCCTTATGATGTTTTGAATTCTATAAAACACTGCAGGTTCCTTCATCTCCGCTTGCCTGAGCCGTTCTCACAGCTCCTCAAAGATGTCCTGACATTCCTCTAAATCAGGGGTTTTCAACCTGTGGGGCGCCAGCACCTGTCATGGGGGGGCGTGAGCATCAGTTAATTCAGAGACGTTCTCTTGAGAATTTATGAATATGAGTTAACAAATCTTCTTGTTTGTTAACAAATCACTTGACAATAGCTGTGGAACACACACTATTTATTCACTCATACTCTTATTTATCTAACACACATACTCAGTCTACATTTCAATTTGTACATAATATACCTGTACATACAACTGTCTATTGTTATATACCTGTACATACAATTGTCGATTTGTATATTTGTATTCCTTATTTACTTATTCTATTTTTAATTTATTTGTATTTTTTATTATCTGTGTTTTTTTGTTCTGTCACTGTCATTCTGTTACACTGTATGTGTATTACACTGTGTGTACACTGTATTCCTCGTATGTGTAAACATACCTGGCAATAAAGCTCATTCTGATTCTGATTCTAATCTTTAGCCATCCACTAGGGAGCAATCTGACTTCCACTGCTAGCATCGAGTATCAGTCACACTCAGTGTTGCCAAGTCCGCGGGTTTCCCGGGTTTGGGTTGTCGGATGTTGGGGGGCGCGAGTGAAATTAGACCAACTTTGGGGGGGGCGCATGTCCTAAAAGGTTGCAAACCCCTGCTCTAAACAGTCCTCTTTATTATGATGTCTAAATAATTCTAGTCAATCAGATTATTTACATGATTCACGATTACATGACCTTGCACAGAGTATTTTTATGACTTATAATTGTGCCTCTATGTTTTAAAACGTGGCTTTATTTCTTATTTTAAACTTGGTCAGTAAGTTTTTTATTAAGCAAGGATGCATTAAATTGATCAAAAGTGACAGTAAAGGCATTTGTAATGTTACAAAAGATTTCTATTAAAAAAAAATGCTGATCTTTTGAACTTTTTAGTGATCAAAGAATCCTGAAAAACAAAACAAAAAATGTATCACAGCTTTCAGAAATTAAGCAGCTTTTTTCAATACACAAAAATAAATAAATCAAGCAAATCAGCATATTAGAATGATATCTGAAGGATCATGTGACACTAAAGACTTGAGTATTGATTAGTGCTGTCAAACGATTAATCCATCCAAAATAAAAGTTTTTGTTTACATAATATATTTGTGTACTGTGTTTATTTATTATGTATATATAAATACACACACATACAGTATATATTTTGGAAATATTTACATGTATATACATTTATATATTTATATTATTTTATATTATATATAAATATATTTAATATATAAACAACATATTTTTCTTAAATATATACATGCATGTGTTAGTATTTACATATACATAATAAATATACACAGTACACACTCATATATTATGTAAACTAAAACTTTTATTTTGGATGCGATTAATCGCGATTAATCATTTGACAGCACTAGTATTGATGCTAAATATTTAGCTTTGAATCATAGGAATAAATTACATTTTACAATATAGTCCCATAGAAAACAGTCATTTTATTTATTTTATATTGAACAGTTGTTCTAAACGGAAAATAAGACGCAAGTTTCATTTCTGGGTTTCTTTCTATGTATCTGTTCACAGGGCCTAAACCACTTCTACACTGCAGAGATCTGTAGAGCTACAGAGCAAGTGTGATATGAGAGTAGGAGTTACTGGCCGATTGCTTTCCTCTATCTGTCGTGGCGAGTGCTGTGTGTGTGTACTGACTTCAATAATTAACCCGGTGTTTGTTCCTGAGGATTTTGGGAATGCCATTGCCATCAGCGATGTAAAGAGGGGGCCAAAAGTAACACATGCCAAGTGCTAATTGGGAGTGAAAATAAGTTTTAGGGAGGGAACTTGGCTGTGGAACAGCAACATAATGCATAATTGAAATCAGATTATAGATAGTCTGGCCTTCACTTGTTTACCATAAAATTTAACAAATGCCTAAATGTTTTTCTTCTTCTTCATAACTTCATGCATTGACACATACAGTATATGCAATATTCCTCACATGGAAATATGAGGTAGAGGTAGAGGTAGAGGTAGAGGTATGAGGTAGGGAAGTCGTGGCCTAATGGTTAGAGAGTCGGACTCATAACCCAAAGGTGTAAATGCAGAGCACTAATTCCGAGTATGGGTCACCATACTTGGCCACATGTCACTTCACTCACTAACATCAAAAATATGAGAACAAAATGATGCCATTGACCAACGTTACAAAAATATATACGCTATCATTTAAAAGTTTAGGTTTGGCAAAACGTTTTTGAAAATAAATCTCTCACCAATATGAATTTTTAACCAAAAATATGATTTAAAAAGTAATATTGGGGAATATTATTACACTTATTTCACAAAACAACTGTTTTCTATTTTAACCTATTTAAAAATGTAATGTATTACTATATAATTTATTTATATGATGGCAAAGTTGAATTTTCAGCTGAATTACTTCAGTGTCACATGATCCTTCAGAAATCATTCTAATATGCTGATTTGCTCAAGAAACATTTCTTATTATTGCCAATGTTGAAATCAGTTGTGCTGCTTGATATTTTTGCGGAAACCATGATCATTGATTCAGAATTCTCTGATTACTGGAAAGTTCAAAAGAACAGTATTTAAAAAAATTATAGATGTCTTTACTGTCACTTTGGATCAATTTAGTGCATTTTTGTTGAATGAAAGTACTAAAACAATCATACTAAGCCTAAACTTTTGAATGGTAATGTATATATTTAGAATTTGTATTTTTACAATAAAACTACATATGTTAAAATTTATTTGATTTGCACCATCCTTCCATGACCAATACTCTATAAAGTGAGTGCATAATTATTAGGCACATTGATATTCTGGTAAAAAAAAACATTTCCAAGCACAGTTTACCAATTCCAAACCACATCAATCTTAATAACTACTATTACTTTTGTATTTAATCATTTATAACTGATATATAATTGTCCATGACTACTGGAAGTGGAAAAACTTCTTATATTCAGGTGTGCATAATATTTAGGGATGTTTTCTTCTTCAGTGTCACATGATCCTTCAGAAATCATTCTAATATGCTGATTTGCTCAAGAAACATTTCTTATTATTGCCAATGTTGAAATCAGTTGTGCTGCTTGATATTTTTGTGGAAACCATGATCATTGATTCAGAATTCTCTGATTACTGGAAAGTTCAAAAGAACAGTATTTAAAAAAATTATAGATGTCTTTACTGTCACTTTGGATCAATTTAGTGCATTTTTGTTGAATGAAAGTACTAAAACAATCATATTAAGCCTAAACTTTTGAATGGTAATGTATATATTTAGAATTTGTATTTTTACAATAAAACTACATTTGCAAATTTATTTGATTTGCACCATCCTTCCATGACCAATACTCTATAAAGTGAGTGCATAATTATTAGGCACATTGATATTCTGGTAAAAAAAAACATTTCCAAGCACAGTTTACCAATTCCAAACCACATCAATCTTAATAACTACTATTACTTTTGTATTTAATCATTTATAACTGATATATAATTGTCCATGACTACTGGAAGTGGAAAAACTTCTTATATTCAGGTGTGCATAATATTTAGGGATGTTTTCTTTTACAGATAAAATGAACCAAAAAAGAGATTTAACTCAGACTGAAAGTCAAAAATTATTAAATTCCCATGATAAGGATGCAATACTAATTCAATACTAGAATTTGCAAAGTTAAAGCATGACCATTAGACAGCGAAATGCTCATTGGGTCAGCACGGTCAGAAAAAACAGGTGGAGAAGAAAAGACACGTTAACTGCAAAATAATTAAGAATTAAGGTGAAGAATTAGGTGTGATCCATCAGGAACCTTTTAGTCTCCAGTACCACCATTTTCCAGAACTGCAACCTACCTGGAGTCTCCCAATATAAAATGTGTCAGGTTCTCTGAGACTTTGCTCGGGTAAAAAAAAAACAAAAAATTACTCTCACTTAATAAGGATCACATGCTGAAGTGTTGTGAAATACATGAAGACTGATTTTTTTATAGGCTTTATAGACAGATAAGTTGAGAGTGACTCTTGAAGGACCAGCACCACATCCTCTTGTACCACGCTTTCAAGAATTTATCTTCCAGAATCTGGCAGTAAGTTTTGGGAGTTCATTTTTAGTCCATCTCCTATCCTGAAAAGTCTGTCTTGCAGAGATGGACTAAAAATGAACTCCCAAAACATACTGCTTTCAGTCTGAATTAAATCTCTTTTTTTTGGCTCATTTTATCTGTGAAAGAAAACATGCCTAATAATTATGCACACACTGAACAGCTGACATGTATTATTATTTTCTATTTAGGTTCTGGTTGGCTGTGCAGGATCTGAAGTGCCGCCCCCTGCAGGAAGTGGCGGCTCGTGCTCAGGAGATCTGGCAAGAGTTTCTTGCTGAGGGAGCTCCCAGTGCCATCAATCTGGACTCGCACAGCTACGAGCGCACCAGTCAGAATCTAAAAGACCCGGGCCGCTACAGCTTTGAAGATGCCCAGGTGAGCAACTGTCACAGGAAGCACAGCTCGACCACTGATGGCTTTTGTTCCTTTTAACAATTTCCACACCCTTTCTGCACGTTTGGAGAAAATGATCCTACTGTATGAACTAAATAGGAAGAAATCTTGAGATATCTAACAATTTATGTTATTATTTTTTTAATGTCCAACAATAATCATTCTGTAAACACATTTTCACAGATGATTGAGGGCTTTTAGGTTTTTTGATGAAAGCTGCACTTCGGGACAAGTTGTGGCCAAGGCAGAATCTTTTTCATTCTTTGAAATGATGAAATAGGAACTTGAGGGCTTTGGGCTATTCGGGGAGATTGATGTACAATAATGCTGATGGATCATCTGTTCCTTGTCCTTGTCCTCATGGCTCTGTTCAAAGGAGTTTGCCTTGTGTCTGTCTCCTTCTTTTATCTACATTTACATGATTGATGAAAGAGACAGAATAATAGGCATAGCAATGCTCAGAACCAGGGTGAAAAGTCTCTCTGGAATTATGAAATCCATTTTATTCCAGAAACTGAATTTTCTGAGAGCAGTTAGCTTGTCGTGACAAAGTAGAATAATTGAAGAATGTGTTGCAGAATCCACTTCTTAGAGTCTGTCAAGGTACTTGCTAGGAGTCTGTCAAGTGAATAAAAAAAAAAAGATCTGTGAGGGAAAAGAACATGCACCTTCATCGCCTTCATAGGCAGCAGCGAAGTCTAATTAATCCTGCTGCAAGATATACATTATCCCTTGGGAGAACCTACTACATATTTATTCATGCGTGCATATGCAATGTCATGATTGAAAGAAAAATAGAAGCAGGATCATGAGGACAGAAAGCAGTTTTTCTGAAGGTTCTTGGCTCTTCTCATTACTTTGCAATGAGGCACTTTCCTTTCGTCCAGGCTGCAAACTCACTGTCAGCCTCCAATATTTTTTCTCTTTCAGGACCACATCTACAAGCTGATGAAGAGTGACAGCTACCCTCGTTTCCTGCGCTCCAATACTTACCAGGACCTCGTGCTGGCCAGAAAGAAGGTTTGTCTCAATCTCAAATCACTCTCTGCCACGTGTAGTGAATCTGAATAATTTTTATGCATTTTTGTTTTCAGTATCGCTCAGTATTCTTTTTCACAAACCATTCAGCCATAAGAACAAAAATCAGTGCGCTCCTAGAGTACTGTAAGGGAAAACATTTTGAAAAACAGAAACGATAATTTTTCTGACAGGACATTTTCCGTTAAAGGAATAGTTCATCCCAAAATGTACGCACCCTCATGTCATCTAAGATATAGATTAGTTTGTTTCTTCATTGGAAATCACCAATGGATCCTCTGCAGTGAATGGGTGCCATCAGAATGAAAGTCCAAACAGCAGACAAAAACATGACAATAAACCACAAGTAATCCGTACAACTCCAGTCCAACAATTAATGTCTTGTAAAGTGAAAATCTGTGTGGTTGTAAGAAACGGATCAATCATTAACACGTTTTTTTTTCTTTCTTTTACTTCACACCGTTGCTTTCAGCTTAAGTCCTCTATTCATAATATTGCTTTTTCCAGTGAAGAACTTGCCTCGTCAGAATCAGGAAAGAAATAGGCATATATCAAACACTGACGAAACAGTCGAAAACAGCCCGAAACAAAGTTGTAGATTAATTTTGATGTGAGAGTTTTTCACTGAAGGAAGCATTTTTATTATTGACGGCACCCATTCACAGCAGAAGATCCATTGGTGAGCAAGTAATGTTAATTTCTCCAAATCTATCCCTATGAAGAAACAAACTGTACATCCTGAATGGCCTGAGGGTGAGTACATTTTCAGCACATTTTTCCAAGTCAGTTCTTTCGTAAGAGATGATATTTCAAGCCTTAGTTTCCTTTCGACTAAAAACATCAGTCCTGAATTGAATGATTTCCTTTTCTTTGCTTGCAAACGAGTGTTCAGTGTTCAGCTTGCACCTATTAACACATAATAAGCCAACTTAATATTTACTCATCAAATGGCCTACTTGCTCTACTGCCAACTTGTAATGGTTAAACATGAGCACTTCAGAGCCATTCTACAGTTTGATTGTGTCTCGGTCCCATTTTGATTATTTCAGATTAACATTCATTTTCTTGAATATTTTTTGTGTTATCCATTTACTTTTATTTACTAACACATTAACCTGGTGTTGTGCACTGTATCTTCCCCATTCCCCTCAATTAACCTCGGCTCCACAGCCTGAGACTGAGCAAGGTCGACGCACATCCCTGGAGAAATTCACTCGCAGTGTGGTGAGTGGCACCTGTTGTCTAGAAAAAAACAATCATCGCCAGTCTTTTTCTAGCTTTATTCAGGCAAAATCAGGCTTTCTGGAAGGTAGTCAGACCAGAATAAAATAGTATATTTATGTATAAATATACTATTTGTTATATTTGGAATTTGATGATGAATATTATTAGTCGAATTCAAGATCACAATTTTTAAACGTTACTCTTTAAAGTCCACATTTAATTAATTGTAATTGTGTTTCAGGGCAAGTCTCTGACAAGTAAACGACTGACAGGCCTCATGCAGTCCTCCTGACCAGTCCTGCAGTTTGCAGTTTGTTGGGGTGGAAGGATTGAGGCCATGACGGACCACGTGCATGGACCACCCTCTCTCCAAAACCCACCCGAACACCGCACAGCTACCGACTCTAGATGGCAGCATGCAATAAGTAAAAAAAATAAAAATCTCCAAACGGCGACAGTGCTGTCTATGTCTATTAAATCAGTGACTACAAAGACCGCATACATGAATGTCACATTTATCAGTACCATCTAGAGAACCATTTTACGTTTATTTGATATCTACAACCAAACTGCAGCAAGGACGGGACTGTCTCCCTGGATTACTGTTAAAAAACATCCATTTTCAGATATGAAAACAAGGTGTGCTGTCATGTCAACGCTAAGCATTTAGATGAAGTGAGGATGTGTCTCAAATCTTCAGAGCATTCCAAAGGAGTGAAGAACTTGACAAGGGCTTTCAGTGACTGTGTTCCCTCAGTCAAGCTTTGCACAGAACTTTTCGTCATATATTTTTTGTTGGACAGTCACTGAATATGAAGAATGAAAGTGGAAATGAAGGGGTTTGGAAAAGCACATTATTCTTCCTGCCATTTTGAAGAAACTAGAATTATTTATTCTGTCTACAGGCCGTGTTATCTCACCTATTGTATTAGCACATGATACTTCTAACTGAGATGAGAAAATAATGAAGAGCGATACCTTTTAGACTCAGTTTTATTGAGGAAAAGAAAAAAGTGGTAGTACTGTATTTCAGGATGATTCAGAGCACAGAATATTGCTTTTGTACAAAAATGGCGCCAGTGAGGAACGCTGGATCCCGAAAATGAGAGTCCTGCTTTGTCACTGTGTTTTCTGAACAGCTTTACAGCAAAATGTCCAAACAAATAACAAAATGAAATGATTTAGGAGCATCTATGGAGGCCTATTTTGTCACATAAAAAATAAAAATGGACCCTTAGCAAGGAGTTTAATTGACAGGCGATCTGACCAATCATAACGCAGAATCCGCCATTTTTGTCTGACAAACAAACCAGACAGGGAGTAGAGTAGATTACCGTTGGTGGACTTGAACTTGAAAAATTGTGTATTGACGTCTTTCCGCGGTTGAAACAAGATACCTTCTGGTGTTCATTTATGTTGATTTCATGCTATAACTAGTCGGTTCACATACCGCTTGAACTGAGGCGCTACAGCGACGTGTCACGATAGCCACAAAATGGCATTTATTGTTTGAATTTCTTAAAAATTACAAACTTTTTCATACCAAAACTAACCTGCTCTGTCTTGTCTTGTCAGCGCGTTGTCAGTTTCCTCTTTGCTCCGCGATTTCTTTTCACTGCGTTGTATTTTCACATTCAACATGATGTGTGGCGTTAGAGCGCCATGGCTTATCGGGACAACAGTAATGAAGGGGGGCGGGTCTTTGCGAAGAGTCGATTATGACATAAATTGAAATGATGAGATTCAATTATGAGATTTCTGAGGAAAAAAGTAAAAAAATACATCAATTATTAGATTAACATTTTTTCTAAATCTATAACGAAAAGTTACAATTATGAAAACTGACAAAAAATAATTCAATAATTGACAAAAAAAATTGACAAAAATGTAATAATTTAGATTTTATCTTATAGTTATGACTTAGTATCTCATTTTGACTATCTAATTTATAATTATGACTTAAGTCAATATTATGCAATACTAAGTTATAATTGGCGTAAGTCATAATTATAACAAAAATCTCAACTTTTAATGACATAATTATGACTGTCATAATTGTGATTTACCAAAGCAATTTTTTTTCAAAGCATCTGATGTTACTCTATGTTTGAAATCAATATATTGGTCCTTATAAACTATGTTTGTCTTTGCTTTAATGAATGGTATTGTAGTGTAGAATGTAAGCGCTTAATGTCGCTGTGTCGGTGTTGTGATTAGTATGATGATGATGATGATTTGCTCTGAACACAAACATATGGGGATCAACATATCAACAGTAGACTGTTTTTGTGGGATTACTACCCATTAGAAAGGTGTTTTTTCACCTTTTTTCACGCATTTCTGTCATTTTTGCTTGCATCGTTTCCTGAAGCAGCATCACTGCCAGAGACACATAGACTTATGCTGCTGGAACACATGAATTCTCTCAGTTGTCTTTAGCCCACAAATTTAAACAGTCAAATGGCAGAACAGAAATGTGTGCAGCTGATATTTTTTTTTACACATTTTCAGGTAGTTGTTTTGTTGACTCATAACTGTACATTAGGTTGAAATGGAATGTATACCTTTGCAGCAATCCTGGATATGGAAGATGCTGTGTAGAATACTGAACGTGGAATATAACTTAGAGGCACAAGTGCCATATTCAGCACAAATCTATGCATGGAATATTTCTAAAGAGTTTTATTGCTTTTAGGCTTTTTTTTTTTCATTGGCAAAGATGAGGATCCAGTAGGTCTAGGCAATGGAAAGGAGGACCTGAAGTCGTGAGACATTCAATAAACATTCCGTTTGGAGAGCTCTGGAATGCTTTTTCATTTTTCTCTGCATGGACAGAATTTTGTGGCACATATTTTTAGCTCAAATTGTTTGTGACGGTTCATTAAACATCTATTAAATGTTGAATTTAGCAGTACACATATAGCAACAGTACATCTGAGAATTGTGCTTCAATAAGCTAGATTTGACTTCCATAAAGCCAGTGTGGTAGGCTTTCATAATCGTACTGAACTGAGATAAGCACTGAATGACATTACAGAGGAAGGAGGCGTCTCTGCTCAACTGTAAATGTGTAAGTGCTGCTCTCTAGTGGGAAGCATTGCAGGAATAATGTGAAGCATAGACTTGCTTTTACTTTTATTTGTTTTTTTATTAAAAGTTACACTACAACAAGGATAAAAAAAAAAGAAAAATACAAGAAATAATAAAGAAAAAACTAAGTACAAAACGATTCTTGTGATTGCAAAGGATTAAAAAGTCAACATTTGTGTTTGAATACAGATGATTATATACAAGAAAGGTCATTGTAACATGCTGCATTTTTCTACTTTTGGACTAGATTAATTAATTTTGTAAGTTGGTATAATGGAGCTGTTTCTAGCTTAACCCCAGGTTATCGTCTTTTTAAAGGTGCTGTATGTAAGTTTTTGACTCTACTAAAGCATAAAAATACTATAATATGTTTGCAGATATTTAAGAAACATGCTAAGCTAACATACATGTTTATCTGAAAAACAATGCTACAGTCAGTTATTCTCCTTTGAAATTGTGCGTTACGGGCCAGAATGTCGGTCTCTGTTTTGGTTTGTGAAACCCGCCCACTGCCAGTTTATCCAATTGTATTTCGGCACCCCGGGTTGCCAGTTCGCGGAAAACACAGCGTATTTAATTTCATTCATCGTCAAGTGCGCTCGTTCCTGTTGGTGTCCTCAATCTGGCAACCTGCGTGTGCGTCAAGTCTGAGGAGGAAGGGCCGGGTGAAAAAAACCCTCTCCAATATTTTGAATTTGGACTGCAATACCTAGTTCAACCACTCGGTGTCAATCCTACACACAGCGCCTTTAAGCTTGCTTTCAACCCTGGGCAATGAAAAGTATTGCACTTTTACTTTAGAAGGGTATTTAGCAGTTGGTTATGAAGCCTGGAGCAAAAAAAATATTGAGTTAAATCCCCTTTCAAGGAGTGCAATAGTGCCTGACCAATTTTTAAGTGCCCTTGGTTCAGGTAGTATTTTCCCATATGATTTGTAGTTCCCATTAAAGTATTATAAACTATGAACATTACAAACTTTGATTTAAAGCCAAAGGTACAAGACCGGTACCAGACAGCTTTAATGAGGATTCAAAACTATAATCCCATGAAGCTTTGTGACTGAGTCGATCAAATTACAATAACAATGGAAACAAGGGGTCCATTTGCTTTTGTCATCCTCTGGTGGAAATGTCTTTGCAAAATCATGGATAATGTAGTTTTTCACCAGAAATTCCAAATATAAATGACAAAGGCATATGGTATATGGTGGTATATGAGGATAACAACATACCATTAATTAACAACCTCACTTCTTTCTCTTTTTTTCTTTTTTAGCAATTTACAAGTTAAAATCCTTGGAGAAAATGGATTGGGATTTTTATTTTGACTGCTGCACTCTATAACTGGTAGTTGTTTAGCAACAAATAACCAATCATTACCCTGCATAGCACCTGCTTCATTAAATATTCATGAGCTTTGTACAGTCACAGAAACTTTTGCGTTGTATTTCATTTCAACATTTGAGGGAAAAACACAAAGTTCAAACAGAAATGAATGGAAAATGCATTCATAACATTGCAGAAGAGGCCAATTTATTATGATGGCACATCGAAGACGAGACAAGCTGATATTTAAATGAAGCACATGATGTGTTCCTCCAATCAATATAGGCAAATATCCATAAAAGAACACTAACCTGGGGTTTACAAATGTACAGTCTAGTACAAAACATGAAAAAAGACACCTGAAGGTTTATATTTAGAATGGGTTAACAATTTTAAGTGCGAAAAGTCAATGTATCCGCTGTCTGTTTTTCTTTTCTAAACAAAAATCTGATTCCAAAGGCCTAACTATGGTTGGACTCTAAACATCATCAAACTAGTTTGATTTTGGAACCTTTAATACATTTCTTAAGCTGAAAAACAAATGTAAATTTGATGTATATGACCTTTAAAATAGATAAAAATGCATAGCTAAAATATTCAACAGATCGCAAGATCTGGAGTGTTGATGAATTGGCTCTGAAAATAGAGCCTCTAATGGATTATACAGGTGAAGGAGGTGGGAATGACATGAGAGAATGTCCAGATGGAAATAGAAATGCTAATACATCACGAGCAAAGAAATACAAAACGGAGTGAACAGATGTTTCACTCAGAGAGGTATGAAGGGCTCCAAACAGGCGGATGGAACAATAGAAGGTTCTAGGACACACGAAACTGGAATGTTCCAGGAGCATAACCAGATATGTTCGCCACAATGTAACGAAAGATTAAACAGCCTAACGCATTCACATTTAATAATTACAAAATGTAACCTAGAGGAAAAAAAGCTGGCTTGAAAAGGCAAAACAAAGATGCAAGTACTATCGTAGCACAAGGAAAAGCATTATATGATGGCTATCA